TGATGGAGGGCCAAATGAAAATCCACGTTATCAAAAAGTCATTGTGTTTGCTATACAACACTTTAAGCGACATGATCTCGATGCATTGTTTTTAGCTACCAATGCTCCTGAAAGAAGTGCGTATAACAGAGTAGAGCGCAGAATGGCTCCTCTTAGTCAGGAACTGGCTGGTTTAATATTGCCTCATGACCATTTTGGGTCTCATTTGGATGAACGTGGCGTTACAGTTGATGAACATTTAGAAAGATCTAATTTCGAATTTGCAGGAAATGTATTAGCTGAAGTATGGAAATCAATGGAAATTGATCGCAATAATGTTAATGCAAGTGAATAAGATCTTCCTGATTTTCCAGACATTAAATGGTATTCATAACATGTGCGTGAGAGCCAATACTTGATTCAAATTGTAAAATGTAGAAGTACAGAATGCTGTCATCCAAGACGTGGCCTATTTAGATTACTAGACAATAGGTTTCTTCCACCATCTGTAAAAGTAAAACCAACAGTTGATGACTTGGTTTTGGATGAAGGAGGGCAATTTCTTAATCTTCCAGTCAATTTAGCTCTACGCTTAAGTGCTTCACTCAAAGATTTCCTGCAAAAAAGTAAACACGCACACTGATAGGAAAGTTAGACCTGTAAGAGTCGATGCTCGTCTTGCTAATGAACTGATGTGCATTATTCAAAATTTTTAACACCATGATGTTGAATGGCTCGATGAGAACGACGTAGATATTCCAAAATCCGATGAAATCGAGCAAACTCACAACACTGAGCAGCAATCGAAGCAATCCAATGTCATCGAAAACTTAAAATCATGGATTCGGGTTTCGCGGACTGAAGACTCAATTTGAATTTAATATATGTACCAAAAATTTAAAATAAGTTTGTTAGTAAGATATAATATTTTTGTCCTTTACTCTATGTTGAATACCATACCTATCAGTAAAATATAATCTCTATCCTAAGTCTATTTTCTTATTTTTCAAATTATAATTATAACGTTATAATTATCACGTTATAATTATAATGTTAAAAAAAACAATACATTAATTGAAAAATGTTTACGTAAGCATGGGGGGAGGGGGTAAGCGCTTTGCTTACTTTTGGTGACAAGGGGGTTGGGGGGGGGTAAATACTTGTAATAAATCTGCTTACATAATACTTGAACGGCCCCTAAGAAGCCATAGAGGAATACTTCATGGAAATCAAGGTAGTTAAATCCAAGATATGTTAACATTGGCCTAATGTTTACTAAAAGGTTTCCGGATGAAGTTCAGGGTGGCACATTGGACTGAATATTACAGGGTTTGTCCGGAAAGTAATAGGACTCATTTTCTTCCGCCACTTGGAGAGTCAGGACAGGCCTTTTTGCGCGACGTGTTTCTGTGAGTGGTGCAAGCCGAAAATGCAGTGTTCGTTAGGGCAGAGGTACGCGATTAAATTCTGTCTGAAACTCGGTACTTAGCGTTGGCGCCATTGTAATCAAGCACGCTTTTAACTTCAATCCAACCGATTTCTTTCCATGACCGATTCCATATCATCCAATTTCGGGAGCAACCGACAGATAATAATCCGCTTTTTTAATCTAAATCTAATCGCACCACTTTCGACGCTCTGTACTCCGGTATAAATTGAAACGCACGTACAGAGCGTTATAAAAAACCGTGACCGATAGTTCGTCTTTCAAGTCGCCGGCAGAGAGGCGCAGGCGGCGCGACGATCTTCATTTGCTTATTAGTTTCGTGTTTTTATCATGGTAGAGGCATGCGCCGCATCTTCAGTCGTTTTTCAATGGAAACTCATTCAATGGTGCTGTCGATCGATCCAATATGGTTCACTGACTTCAAAACTGAATGCAACCATAATATTCACGTATTATAGGCAATATATAACACCGCTTAACAAGGATATAGAGAAAAATGACCGTCAACACACTACTTTCCACTGTAGTTCAACACGTCAAAGCGTGGTAACCACCCTGGCCAATTTGTGAGGAATCCCCCAATTTGCGGGAAATCCCATGTTGAGTGGGGATTCTGACATCTCACCGTTAAATAATACCGATAGATTCAAGGGTAACTATTAGTATACGGTATATGATATAGTATACACTGAAAACTAAATACCATTGACGTCGTAATGTATATCCATATTCTCACGCGCAAAAATGCGCTTATAACATAGACTTGGTGTGCAACTCCAAAACAATTCTATAAGATATGCCTTGTATTTAACTGGATTGCGATGGATAGACATTTTTTTGATGTTCTCTTGGTTCAACGATAAAAGACTGCTGCGTCAGTCGTGTATCATCATTAATGCCATGTTCTGATGGATTAAGTGTGTGTATTGTATTATATATATCTATACTAAGTGACATATAAATCCGAACACCCAGTTTAAATGGTTTTATTTTAATAAAATTTTGTATAAGTACTTGATGAAGCATATTAAGTAAATGATAAAAATTTCAAAATGATTGCACTGCTTTAAAGCCCTTTGACCTTTAATAATGTGTGGATGCATCCTGATGTGCTACGCATTCTCCAACGCGCCTAGGCATGCTTCTGATCAGGTGGTTAATGTCCTCCTGTGGTATCTCATTCCAGGCAACCACCAACTCCTCTCGAAGTGCTTCTACAGTCTGAGGAGGACGTTGCAAATTGAGCAATCTGCTACCCATCATATCCCACACGTGCTCAATTGGGGATAAGTCGGGAGACCTTGGTGGCCATGGTAACAATGTGACATCATTATGTTGAAAGAAGTCTATTGTGACTCTTGCAACATGTGGTCGGGCATTATCTTGTTGGAAAGTTGGTTCTGCCAGGATGTCAAGATAGGGTAAAAGATGGGGTTCTAGAACTTCGTGGATATAACGCTGCGCGTTCATGTTACCTCTGATGAAGATTAAAGGTGACCTGGAACCATAAGCTATAGCACCCCAAACCATAACTCCAACAGTGTGATGAACATGTCTTTCAACAAAAAACTGTGGATTCCTCCTTTCACCACGTCGCCTTCTAACCCTGGCACGACCATCGTGCATGCCTAAACAAAATCGAGACTCGTCACTAAAGACAATACTGTTCCATTCCTGATCCCAGAGTGACCGTTGTCTGCACCACTCAAGGCGATTACGTCGGTGTTCTCGAGTTAAAGGGAGGACCCAGTGTGGCCGGTATGAAACCAAGCCAAAACTTCTCATTCGTCGGTAAACACTTCGCATGCCAATAGGTCTTCCGTGTTCTGCAAACCATTCATTTGCAATGGACCTGGTAGTGGAGAAACGGTCCCTTAAGGCCAATAATCTTAGGCGGCGATCTTCACGGTCTGTTGTTCTACGGCGGCGTCCAGTGCTCCTTGCTCTTTGCGTACGGCCTTCTCGAAGCCATGCCTGACAACACCTAACCACAATGTCTACACTTCTTTGCACTCTAACTGCAATTGCCCGAAAAGAAAGTCCAGCTTGCCGAAGTCCCACTATACGGCCCCTATCAAACTCACTAAGTTGACGAAATCGTACAGGTCTCCGTACTCTAGGCATCGTAACCGATCGTAAAGGATGTCAAGAACCACAATCCGCCAACGTTGATTCTTTACTGCGGCTGAAATATTCATTTTTAGAGCGTTAGTGAATTAAAAAAAACAGTATAAAAACCGGAAAGTCCAACTGTTAAGGTTGAAAATTTTTTCACTTGTTATTTACAATAAGATAAATAATACATTCACCAACTTTTATTAAAATAAAACCATTTAAACTGGGTGTTCGGATTTATATGTCACTTAGTATATATAGGAAGTTTGTTGGTGCAAAATTTGTAGTATTTTGAAAATATCCTAATTTGTTTAAAGTGACGTCGAATTCATTTGAATATGAAAATTCGTATGAGTGCATGATTATTTTATTATTAGAAGTAAATGTTCATTTGTTGTACACATGATCACGTGGCCTTATTCAGTATCAGGTACCTGTCTCTCATCCTACTTTCTGAAATTATAAGAAAGAATTGCTTCTAGTGGATGGTGATAAATTATTAACCGATCAAACGAACCTATTTGTGAGGTTCGATCGTAATTATATGACGTGTCAGCTCCGAAGATATTTACTAGGTCACGTGGCCTTATTTAGTGACAGGTATCTTTCTTCCTAGTTTCCGAATTTTAAATAAAGTGTTTCTGGACATTCAGACGAATAATTAGTAGAACGTGATCCCATATATAAAACGTTCACAGACTATGAAAATAAAAAATTCCTAACGCTAATAAAATTCGATATCTTTGTATAATTTTACAAGATACGGATTTTTTTCTTTTGAATCGAAAATATCAACTATCCATAGCAAACATTATAAATTTTTTGATATCTAAATATATATAAATATAATATACAGTGAAAGCTCTCATATGCGGCACTTGCCAATAATAGGCAGCAGCGGTGGTCGCAGTAGTAGACTCTTCGGTCTCCTGATCAGTCGCCGTGCGCTGTGCGGGTTCGAATCCCGTCCCAGGACAAATTTTTCCCTCGCCATAGTCCGTGTGGCGTTCCCCCTTTCCCCAGTATTCCAGATTTTTTCCCGCTTATTGGAGGTGACCGCTTAAAAGAAAACTAACAAATATAGAACTTGCACAGTTTTTTATTTAGAAGTGACATGAAAACATATATGTATGTCCATACATCCATATTATTACATATGTGAATGTATAAAGTATAATATGATAATTATATATATTAAATTAAGTCTTATTATAAGACATTTACATATGTATTGATGACATGCGAAAACAGATTTATTAAATAACAACAAAAGGACAGCAAACTTATTTAAAAACAGTTTGAAACAATGTTGGAATAGTCGCCTGCTTAAGTTTTTTTTGCTTTGCATCATCAAGACATTTCTGAAACTGGCATTCCAAATTTTTTATTTGTTTAAAAGCAACATAGTCATCTTTTGCGAAGTTTTTCAGTACTTATACACTTCATCATAGCTTTTTACTTTATTTTCCTCTTCTTGAATCTCCTCAATTTCGTCATCCGTCTCATTTTCTTGATTAGTTTCACCACCTAGTTCTACGACTAAATGTGCAAGCTCAGCATCTTCTTCACTTAGAGTGTTTTGATCAATGCTAACATATTCATCTAAATTTTGATCGTTGTTAATGTTCAGCTCCTCCGCACCTCGGGCCATCGTTGTGAAAACAGATAATGGCAAGTCATCCTCGGGATCAAAATGAAGAACCTCTTGCCCAGCTTTTCTAAACCCAGCTTTTCGGAAACAATTTTGTTTTGTTGTCTCATTAACATGCTGCCACACGGTTTTTATAAGGTACAATGCCTCCAAAACATTACTTTTTTTATAATTCGGAGGATTATTTAACACCCTCTATATTTAATAAAGTATGTCTTAAGATCAAATTACGATAATAAAACTCAACATTTTAAATGATGCCCTGATTCAGTGGCTGGCACATGCTTGTTGTGTTTGAAGACAAAAAGATAATTTTAACATTTTTTAGATGTAAGTCTCGAGGATAATATGCAGCATTGTCTAAAAATAGCACAATTTTTCTATTTTTAATGCCCATTTTTCGATCCAACTCGGCTAACCACTAACCCATTATTTAGCGTGTCATCCAGGCTTTTTTATTTGACGTCCACATAACAGGTAAATCCTTAATGATTACATTTTTCGATGCTCGAGGGCGTGCAGATTTGCCGATCATTAAAAGTTTTTCTTTTTGTCCAGTCATGCTTGCACCGAATAATTCGGTTAGTCTTTCTTTCGATAATTTTCCCCTCGAAGACAGTGTGTTATCCGGAAGCGCACGACAATATAGACCGCTTTCGTCGGCATTGTAAATGTCTTCACAGTGGTATCCCAAAAGCAATGAAAGAAGTTTCTCTATAAATGCATCGACTGTCTCTTGATTTACATCGACCGCTTCACCAGAAATGCATTTAAAATTAACATTGTTTCTTTTACGCCACTTTTGAGGCCACCGATAGGGATGCACTTTTGATAACCATATTTTTGTGCAATTTCCTTTGCTTTTTCTTCTACAAGCCCCCAGATATGGGTATTCTTCGATTTCTAGCAGTAATAAACCACTCAAAACATGCTTTATAGATTTTTAAGCCTTCAGTCCTACAAAAACTTCTTTTGTGTTGTTCATTCATTTTTTGCTTATCAATAACATTCACAATTTCCATCCTTTTAAGCTAGTTTCATTTTAGTGAACTATTTTAGAAATTGGTTAAATGTATTAAGCCTGTTGGCTGTCACGTAATTAATCAAATTACTTAATTGACTTTTTTAAATTTTATTGGTTTGATTAAATACTTTTCTCAATCAGCCTAGATATTTAGGTTTGCATCAGAATGAAAGAGATATAGAAGGCTTCCTAAATCAATTAATCAAATTACTTAATTGAGTTTTTTAAAATTCTTATTGGTTTGATTAAATACTTTCCTCAATGAGCCTAGATATTTAGGTTTGCATCAGCATGAAAGAGATATAGAAGGCTTCCTAAATCAATTAATCAAATTACTTAATTGACTTTTTTTTAAATTTTATTGGTTTGATTAAATACTTTTCTCAATGAGCCTAGATATTTAGGTTTGCATCAGCATGAAAGAGATATAGAAGGCTTCCTAAATCAATTAATCAAATTACTTAATTGAATTTTTTAAAATTCTTATTGGTTTGATTAAATACTTTTCTCAATGAGCCTAGATATTTAGGTTTGCATCAGCATGAAAGAGATATAGAAGGCTTCCTAAATCAATTAATCAAATTACTTAATTGAATTTTTTAAAATTCTTATTGGTTTGATTAAATACTTTTCTCAATAAGCCTAGATATTCAGGTTTGCATCAGCATGAAAGAGATATAGAAGGCTTCCTAAATCAATTAATCAAATTACTTAATTGATTTTTTTTAAATTTTATTGGTGTGATTAAATACTTTTCTCAATGAGCCTAGATATTTAAGTTTGCATCAGCATGAAAGAGATATAGAAGCCTTCCTAAATCAATCAATCAAATTACTTAATTGACTTTTTTTTAAGTTTTATTGGTTTGATTAAATACTTTTCTCAATGAGCCTAGATATTTAGGTTTGCATCAGCATGAAAGAGATATAGAAGGCTTCCTAAATCAATTAATCAAATTACTTAATTGAATTTTTTTAAATTTTATTTGTGTGATTAAATACTTTTCACAATGAGCCTAGATATTTAGGTTTGCATCAGCATGAAAGAGATATAGAAGGCTTCCTAAATCAATTAATCAAATTACTTAATTGACTTTTTTAAATTTTATTGGTTTGATTAAATACTTTTCTCAATGAGCCTAGATATTTAGGTTTGCATCAGCATGAAAGAGATATAGAAGGCTTCCTAAATCAATTAATCAAATTACTTAATTGAATTTTTTTAAATTTTATTTGTGTGATTAAATACTTTTCTCAATGAGCCTAGATATTTAGGTTTGCATCAGCATGAAAGAGATATAGAAGGCTTCCTAAATCAATTAATCAAATTACTTAATTGACTTTTTTAAATTTTATTGGTTTGATTAAATACTTTTCTCAATGAGCCTAGATATTTAGGTTTGCATCAGCATGAAAGAGATATAGAAGGCTTCCTAAATCAATTAATCAAATTACTTAATTGACTTTTTTTTAAATTTTATTGGTTTGATTAAATACTTTTCTCAATGAGCCTAGATATTTAGGTTTGCATCAGCATGAAAGAGATATAGAAGGCTTCCTAAATCAATTAATCAAATTACTTAATTGAATTTTTTTAAATTTTATTTGTGTGATTAAATACTTTTCACAATGAGCCTAGATATTTAGGTTTGCATCAGCATGAAAGAGATATAGAAGGCTTCCTAAATCAATTAATCAAATTACTTAATTGACTTTTTTAAATTTTATTGGTTTGATTAAATACTTTTCTCAATGAGCCTAGATATTTAGGTTTGCATCAGCATGAAAGAGATATAGAAGGCTTCCTAAATCAATTAATCAAATTACTTAATTGAATTTTTTTAAATTTTATTTGTGTGATTAAATACTTTTCTCAATGAGCCTAGATATTTAGGTTTGCATCAGCATGAAAGAGATATAGAAGGCTTCCTAAATCAATTAATCAAATTACTTAATTGACTTTTTTAAATTTTATTGGTTTGATTAAATACTTTTCTCAATGAGCCTAGATATTTAGGTTTGCATCAGCATGAAAGAGATATAGAAGGCTTCCTAAATCAATTAATCAAATTACTTAATTGACTTTTTTAAATTTTATTGGTTTGATTAAATACTTTTCTCAATGAGCCTAGATATTTAGGTTTGCATCAGCATGAAAGAGATATAGAAGGCTTCCTAAATCAATTAATCAAATTACTTGATTGAATTTTTTAAAATTCTTATTGGTTTGATTAAATACTTTTCTCAATGAGCCTAGATATTTAGGTTTGCATCAGCATGAAAGAGATATAGAAGGCTTCCTAAATCAATTAATCAGATTACTTAATTGACTTTTTTTTAAATTTTATTGGTTTGATTAAATACTTTTCTCAATGAGCCTAGATATTTAGGTTTGCATCAGCATGAAAGAGATATAGAAGGCTTCCTAAATCAATTAATCAAATTACTTAATTGAGTTTTTGAAAATTCTTATTGGTTTGATTAAATACTTTTCTCAATGAGCCTAGATATTTAGGTTTACATCAGCATGAAAGAGATATAGAAGGCTTCCTAAATCAATTAATCAAATTACTTAATTGAATTTTTTAAAATTCTTATTGGTTTGATTAAATACTTTTCTCAATGATCCTAGATATTTAGGTTTGCATCAGCATGAAAGAGATATAGAAGGCTTCCTAAATCAATTAATCAAATTACTTAATTGACTTTTTTTTAAATTTTATTGGTTTTATAAATACTTTTTTCAATGAGCCTAGATATTTAGGTTTGCATCAGCATGAAAGAAATATAGAAGGCTTCCTAAATCCAAAAGTTGCACGACATCAACAGCTATAAGACACTTTTGAGCGTTTTTTCAGCACTTCAGCTCCGAAGCAGCTTGAAAACAATTGCCCCTAAAGCGCGTAACCGTAATTTCCGAAATGTTCTCCACAGGAAACAATCCTTTCAAGTCCCCCGCGCTGCATCTAGAAGACATTCTGTGCGATTACAGCCACACCACATTCCGACGTTCGAAAATCGTCAAAATTTCGTCGTCCGGTGCAGCCTGTGGCGGGAAAAAACTCTCGCGCGATTATAAAAACATCGGAATGACATTAGTTAGAAATCCTAAGCAGCCGCGGTCCACAGTCCGGGTCCAAGTCGGCCATCAAATTAATTCAGCTCCAAGATCGCTAAACAGTTCTTCCACTCGCCCCCATTAACGTTTCCGAATTCGAAACTATTTGAATTAGGCGCGCATTGGCGGAGCAATGTCACGATTTTTCGGGTCGCGAAACCAGCGAAGAATTTTCAAACTACAGGAAGCCGGAGTAATGGCCTTAAGTAGGTTGACCCTATATTTCTCACTCAATTTTAGAAAAATGGACTTCTGTATATTTATGCCGTATACAGGGTGTCCCAGAAGTCGACGTCAAGCCGAAACCGGGTGATAGGCAAAGTCATAACAGCTATCAGAAAAATATTTAAAATAATTTTATGTATGTGTTTTGAAAATTATAGGTCTTTGAAAAAATTATAGAAATTTCACACCCTACGGCAGTCTGTCAACTCCTGTTACTACAAATATTAACTTTTTTTGGATTTTATTTTTACAATGTAACGATGAATAATGCATCTTCAAACTGGTGTCTCAACCTTACTGCCAACTTTTCTCGTTCAGGAAAAATTGCCACTTATTTCCCAACCAAGTATTCCAAAGTAAAACTTTGCTCAACTTTAACTGGCTGTACTGGAAAAAAATGTACTACGAGAGTTTGGCAAGTAACCTTAAAAGTTGGCGCATTTACTAAGGATTCCAAAATGGTATAACTCTTAGAAGATTACTCGTTAACTTATGCACAATTTTTATTTGAAGAAAAACTGATGAACATTTTTCAAAATTTCACAATTAAACAGCGATTATGAAAACGCACAAGGACCCTTAAGGATAACTGTTAGCACAACAGTGGGCGTCAAAATGCTGCTGATGATGATTT